CGGGCGGCAGCGCCGGCCCCGGGCCCACGGGGCCCGGGCGGCCCCGGCCCTAGGGCAAACGCCGGGTGCAAGGGCATCCCAGTCCTCTTGCGTGCCCCCGGACGCACGGCTCCGCCCCCGGCGCATGAGTGGCCCCCACCTCCCGAGCGCCCGGGAGCCTCTAAAGGTTGGGGACCACTGTCCTAAACAATTCTTCCCCCTAAACAAACCGCGGCCAACTCCAGCTCTCAAACCATATCTTTCCTGGCTACCAGGAGGAACAGGGCTCCCTGTGCTACAGCCCCAGCTCTCTCTGGCTGGCAGGGAGCTAGTCTCCTGGTACTGTGGCTCCAGTCATCCCTGGCCACTGGGCTGCCACTCTAGGGCAGCTGGACAGTGTAGGCAGTTTTGGGACGGTAATACCTTCCCTTGCCTTTGTTACTGGCCACCCATGCTACAGGGGCACAGCTGTAGTGCTTTAGTGGAGATGCTATTATGCTGATGGAAGTAGTTTCCTGTTGGTGTAGTTAAACCACTTCCAGGAGAGCAGTAGCCATGTTCACAGAAGCTCTCCCATCAACATGGTGCTGTCTACACAGGAACTAAGTTGTATAATTACATTGCCAAGGGGTGTGGATTTTGAGCAACATAGTTATACTGATGTAGGTCTCTAGTCATGTAGACGTGGCTCAGGTTGTGACTACAAATCATTACTGTATAATGAGTGTTCAGTAGCATTAATAAAAAGTTTGGGTTTAGTTCAATTCTTAATGGGCCTGGATTAAATATACAGCATCACCATTCATACTGGCACATTTGTTCACAGTCCCACTAAAGTAGCCAAAGATTAAATGAGTGTGAAAACTACATCCTTAGAAGTGGCCCCCTCAGAACATGATTACAGAACAGAAGGTGATCAGCATGTGGAAGTCCATCCTGCAGTTACCAGTGCTGTCTGTCCTGTGGCTCAGAACTTTAGACTCCAGATTTGTCAATCTGGCATGGTGCATAAGTAACAGATTCACTAAAAAAACTAAGGATACAAAAAGCAAAAACAGCTACCACCACATATTGTTGAGATTTAACATGAACAGATGAATAAATCAAGTGTCACACAACAAATCTGCTAGCTACATTTCACATACCGTTGCATGTTATGAAACATTTAAATTAATAGCATATTTAGTGAAACGCTGCTTATGTAGAAAGGGGGAATGTTTCAATAAGAAATACAACTTTGAATTTCCTAGTTTAGTATCCACGATCTCAAATATAGCATGACACTATTATTAGCATTTAAGTAATTTAATTTAATACTTTTTTTTTGGAAACTCACCATGTGGCACTGTGCCCTTACTCCCCAATAAAAATACTCGAGATAAATGGCACATTGGAGTGATAACTAACAAGGTTGTTATGTGCAAGAGAACAAAAGCCTGGCACAAGACTGACTGTAATATGTGCAATTACTATATTATGATGCTGAGCGGATTACCCCTAAGAAAACAACTCTCATTCCAGACTCAAGGTTGACTCTGTCTTAACTGATACGGTCTCTAAACGAACAAGCGAGCCACCGCGCCCTGCATTCCACTGGCTGCCAACAAGCAGAAGAAACAGCGACACCTTTACACTAAAAACAGGCAGCGAAACCACGCGGCGATTGCTTAATGAGGAAGAAAAAGGGCATCAACGACTGCGAGCTGCCGCTTTTCCACACACGCAGCAGCGAGCGCTGTGGGCGTGAGAGACAAACAGCGAAGGGAACGTTACGCTGACCTCTGGCGAGCCTTCATCGCCCGCCTCCCCCTCCACTTCACCCCCGCCGGCCCC